ACAAAAATAATGTATTCTTTTACCACTTTTAAGTTGCTGTAACATGTTTTCAGTAATTTCTCAGTTTAGATGGAGTCTGAAAAGAGTTGTGCTAAAAATGCCTTAATGACCACCTAACCTTGAAGGTTGATTTTAAGCTAAATGATACAGGTATGCCTGTATTAACCAAGTTATTTCTTCTCTTATATACAAAGAAAATATTATAGTTGATTGGCTATAACTCCAGTATTCTGGGCCCTCACACCACCAGGATATCTTCTGAGTCATGGAATAATTAATTAAGAACTGGGGAGGTGGAGCGTCAAGTCTGTCACAACACACGAGGGGTCCTGGGCAGAGGCAGAACTACTCTCTCGTTCCACTACCCAGCAAGCTGAGTTCGTCAATACACTAAAACATCAGTGATTATCGATTATATGGGAATAAAGGCCAGAAGGAAAACAGGAAAAAAAAAAAAAAAAACCACCTGAACCACGTATGTTCAACTTTCCTCCGCACCGAAAGAACTTTTTTCTCAGTCCCCTACAAAAGGAACCAGAAGTAGTAGGAAGTGCAGGTTAACACAGCAGAGGAATTAAGTTATACCTGCTCTTAACACCGTCTGCATTCTTAAGACAAACCCTATTAAGCTTAAAAATCCCCAGATATTCACCATATTAGGCTGATGCCTCAAAAGTAAAAGAGTCTGGGAAACTATAAAGAAACCGGAAGCCGGCACTTCTCTGAAGGCTGACGTCCTGTTGAGATCGGTGCTTAAGTCAACTACTGATACTGGGCCCCAAACTGAAAACCTAGTCTCCTGTTTTTCTCTTTCTAGCACACACCGTGTTCAAAGAGCAAACGATTTACATTTAATGGAAAAGGAATTCGGTGTAATTTGAAGTTACTGCTCTACTCGTTTTTCTTGTGAAGGGGATTCACTTTTTCCTTTCACTAGAAGCAGCATCCCCTTCCTTCACGTTCTAGAATACAGTGGTCCTTTTTATTGCCCCTCACTGAATTCTGCGGCAAAGTCCCTACTCTCGACCCTGGAACACTATTCCTTATGCTTAAAGACCAAAGGGCCGGAGAATGTCTTAATTCGCTAAGATCTGTGTTCAGCAATGAATACAGAGAACTGAAAGCCCTTCTGAGGTCCCTTTTAGATGACACAGATGATGGTGTCAGTCTTATTCCACCAGCAACCGTGAGGCACTAGTAAAGTCAAATAATTTTTTTATTTTAACATTACCTTAGCATTGAGTAGCAAGAGCAATATGGTTGTTCCAGATGGTGTCTAAAATGGCCAAGAACACACAAGTGCTTCACTTTATATGCTGAAGCTTTTCTTTTTAGCAAATTCTACTCTAATTTTACCTAATGGAACAACACAATGTGTGCTCTTCCACTCACAGAGTTTCATTTTGTCACTAAAAAAATTTACAAATTAAAATTTTATACTTCTAATACAGGTTTGTTTTACACTTTTAGAAAACATTTTCAGAGGTAATGCTGCTAAGTTAATGTCCCACTCCTGATCTTTTCTCACTCTATACACCTTGAATATCTTTCCATATCATTGCATAGAAATCAATCTCACTTCTTCTACAGACGGGTAACAGTTTCATGTATGGCCATACTATAATTTTCTTAACCTATCTCCCACTGATTAACATTTGGGTAAGTTCCAGTGGCTTAATATTATACTGAATTTTAGTGCATTTGTATATTTCTATTGGATATAATTCCTTGAAATTTAACTGATGGGTCAAAAGTGTACAAATTTATTTGTTAACAGGTATCACCCAACTAATCCTCCAAAATGGAATACAAGTTTAAGTGCTCACAAGCAGCAGACAAGAGGGTCACTCATCCTTGCCAATTCAAGAACCAACCAAAAAAAGTTCTCATTCATATTTTCATTTACATTCCCTTATGTAAAAGGGCCATTTCTTTTTTCTTTCATCTGTGAATTGTTTATTTATATCTGCTGCTGTCTTTTTCTATTGTGTGGTTGATCTGTATCACATATCTGAAGTTTCTTTAAAATGATGGGAATAACTAAACTGCATCTTGTAAACCCTACTCTAAAACCTATTAGTTATCAAATACTAAGAACAAGTTACTTTCTCTGGCAGTTCGCTGTACTTTTTAAATTAAAAAAGATTAATTAGTAACTCTAACTTTAGACTGTAAAGAAATAGTTTTAAGCATATTTTAGGGAAACCATATTGTATCTGCCTAGGTCTTCTATTTGGATCATAATGTGAAATGCTTTAAATTTGATCAGGGTTACAGATTTCTTTTTATCACTGAATTTCAAATATTGAAACTCTAGATCTGTACTAAGTAAATTCTTTAAGGCTAATAAGGTACATGTAAAATACATGTAAATACATGTAAAATAATAAAAGTCTATATATGCAAATTCTGGTCATTTAAACTAGTTCCCCTGTAAAAAAAAAAAATTACCAAGTCCCTACGGTGGATGGGGAAATGAGCAGAAAATTAAAAGAAGTATTCTGATTGCCTACAGGGTATACTCAGTTCTGTTTCCAGGTAAAAACCCAATTACCTTAACAGACATTAACTGATTTGGGGTTGAGGAAATGGAATCATATAGTGACATCCCACAAGCTCTGCTGTGGGTTAGGTGCTGAAGTCAGCCACAGATTATCACCCCAGGCACTGGTTAGCAAGTAAAGGTGATTCTGGTGACTCACAGTGGTGATTTTTATCGCCATTACATGTTCTTATTAAGCCCCATTGTCCTTTTACAGTTCTTTGGGTCTCCCCCCCCCCCCTTCTACTTTTGGTTCATTTCAGCCAGTCATTTGTACTCTGGACTATATATTATATTATATTGAAAAGATGTAACAGTCTATAGATGTAAATGGAATCTTTATACATCCTATCGTGTTAAATTAAACCAGGGTTTTGCAACCACGGCACTACTGAGACTTGAAGCTGGATGATTCCTTGTCCTAGGAGAGCTGTCCGGGGCACTGCTGGACGTTTAGCAGCACCCTAGGTCTTCACCTACCGGACGCCAGTACCACCCCACTGCCGGTCGTGACAATCACAAAAATATGTCCTGGCACTGTTCAGTGTTCCGTGAGGAGGCATGACTGCCCCACTCCCCACCCCGGCTGAGAACCACTGAGTTAATCTAATTGTCTCCGGTGGATGGACAGGTAAAATTACATTCTAGTGTGCTTGCCTGTGTTTGTTAATTTCTCTGTAACAGGAACTTTTATTTTTAAAAAAGGCAACAGAGGAAACAATAAAAGAAAATTTTAAGGAATGTGTCAGTAGGGGAAGAAAAGAACTCAAACCCTGAAATTTTGAGAAAGTACTTTTTAAAGAAAAAAACAAATCACCACCAACAACTAGGAGTAGACTCTTGGCAGGTCCTAGGGTGCACGCAATCATTTTAGATCAGGATCAGGATTGAAAAAAAGGACAGAATAGAAAATGTGAGACGGCAAAACGAAATAAAGTATTATTTAATAAAATATTTTTCAGTTTATGTGCATGTAACTATTATGACATAAAAGTGTATTTTACTACTGTGGGTTCTTGTCAAGTATCTTTGAAAACCAGATTTACGGCTACTGATGTTTAAGTTACTCCAACTTTTCATTATTACAAATAGCCCAGAGGAGCAAGAATAGGCTCAAAATGAGTTAGAATGAAACAAGGGGAGGGAGGAGCCTCAAAATTCTGAAAAGCAAAGAGCTCAAAAAAAAACATAGAGCAAAATGATTACAAGCTGAAAACCAGTGACCAAGGACATTGGCCAAATTTCTTATAACACGTTAAAACAAGCAAGATTTGTTCTGCCTTCTGTTTTTTCTGTATCTGCCCTTTTAAAATACGCTGGCATAAGAGTATATAGCCTTGTTAGGGGGCACCTGGGTGGCTCAGTGGGTTAAGCCGCTGCCTTCAGCTCAGGTCATGATCTCAGGGTTCTGGGATCGAATCCCACATCGGGCTCTCTGCTAATGGGGAGCCTGCTTCCCTCTCTCTCTCTCTCTGCCTGCCTCTCTGTCTACTTGTGATCTCTCTCTGTCAAATCAATAAATAAAATCTTAAAAAAAAAAAAAAGAGTATATAGCCTTGTTAACTTTTAGCCTAATTTAAAAGAAAAAGGTTTAGGCTTAAAGGTTTTAACAAACAGTGGAAATTATGAGTTTGTCTAATTAGACCAAAACCTAGGAGGATTTATATCAAAATACTCTTTGCTGTTAAATGCTGTTAAATGATTGTATGTATTTGAACACACCTAGCTGTTATAAAACAATGTACAATATTCTTGAGTTTGATTAGCATACCCAAATATTCTTAATTAGCAAGATTTTAATTAAAAATCCCAAAACTTCATACTAAAAGGCATGTTATTAAATACTCTAAGTACTTATCCACTTAAAATAATTTTAAGTTACAGAAGTCATTTTTAATAAAAATCACTTTTTCTAAGATTCTTACCTTTCCATTTCTACGCAGTCCAAAAGATTTATTCTTACTTCCACAAAGATGGTGCATAGTACTAAGATCTATCATGCAGCCCCAGCACTAAAACACATCAATTCTAGCGGCACTAATTCTCCATAGAGCACCACTTTCTCGCCGAGGCAGATTAACAACGGCAAATCCAAGAGAATCTATTCATAAAGGGGGTCATCTCGAAGTGGAAGCCCATTGGGGAGTGTGATGCTCGCTTTTGGTACCTCACAGACTACGTTAGTGAGAAACGATACCAACAGCAAACAAAGCTCAAAAGGAAAACCCCCACAAATTTCAAAATGATGCTGTTAGTATAAAAAAGAAAGGCTGACACATCTCAAAGCGCCGATCAACACCGTCATGCAGCTACCGCCGAGGTTAAAGCCCAACGCCCGATGTTTTAACTATTCGATCTTCACAGATCAGGCAAGGACTTGAAATCATCTCACGTGCAACAGTCTTTGCATAACACCCCATCTTATCCATGCCACAAAAACGGTAAATTTGGTAGTTACCAATAAATAAGTTGGGGGTCAAAGGGACTAAAGCCTTAGACTGCTCTTTATCATAAGATATCCTCAGACAAACCTCCCCATTCTTCATTCTGGCTCTATAAAATTAAGGAGCAGAGAAAAACTGGTAAGTGCCTGACTTTACAAAGAAAATGCACTCTGTATTTCCTTGGTCATTAGATCTAGGTTTATAAATCAACTGTACCACTCCCCCAAGTCCTCCCCCTCAGAAAACTAGCTTAAAATAGGCACTTAATTGGTGGTGTTGGGGAAATGTTCCAAGTATTGCAAAGAATGTCAATTTCGTAATCTCAGCATGTTGCACTTTAGTAATTTAGCAATCAAGTTAAGTACCAGTGGCATGTTAAGAAAACCTGTGCTAAATTCCAACAAACATTAAAAATTGGATAATGGACTAATTTTTCTGGGCTTTATCCCCAAATTTAATTATGTATCACAGACCCAAATACCAAAAATACAGAATTCAGAATTCACTCTAGAAATGTCAAAACTGAACCACTGTTTACCACGTAGCTAAGTAAAATTAAAAAAGGTATCTTTATTATTTAATCACTATGTCCGAGGTTTTAGCAATTATTATTCAAATACACACTTATGTTCTCATTACTCACTATAATATGCTAATGGAAGATCTACTTTCTCCCGACTGTGCCGTTTGCCTGTAACATGAAGGACTGAAATTTTAAAGAAATTTTTCTGAAGAAAATAAACATTCTTAAGGATAGAAATGTGTATGTCACAAATTTTAAAAGGGCTAAAATCAAAATAATTTTGTGATTTCCATGCATTAAGCCAACAGGTATTTTCATTATAAATTCAAAGTCATCCATGGTGTTTAGAAATAATTCAAGTAAAAGAGCTGATACCAAATAGAAAAATCACAACACAAAGAAAACTAGATTAAAATAAATTAATTAGGAATTCTATAAATTTAAGGCCACATTTAGCTAAGTGCCTTTGCAGCTATATTTACAATTTTGGAAGCAAAATCACATTCATGACATAGGCTAAGTGAATGCTATATACCAAATTATAATACCAAAAAAGCTACTATAAATCCAGTTTCGATAAATCCAACAAGAAATGACTTTAAAAATGTATTATTTGTATCTATATATCCAATTTGAAAATACTGACTATTGATAGTTTAGACAGTGAACATTTTCAGTGTAAGAGGTAAAAAATGGCATGTCTTAGGAAGTCTACTCTGTTCCGTAACAGAAAAACCTCCAGAATGATGAATCTCTTCATTACTGGAAAACACGGAAGCTGGTACTAGAAACAGGTTTAAAGTACACATTTCAAGACAATACGCAAATAGGGCGGGGGGAGACATGGATACTGCTCAGTGGTCAAGATTTCACATAGCTCCGAAGGCCAGCGGAGCGTGTTTGGAACGCTGGGACCATTCCCCGGAAGCTCACTGCGTGAGCCTCTGCTTGTTCGTTTGTTAAAAGGTGCTCGGGACCCTGCGCAGGACACCCTGAGGATTAGCCCAGGGTGCTTCCCATCTAAGTGCTCAATAAGCGCCGGCTGGCACCCTGTTCTCTTCTGTTGTCCCGGTTATCCAGACCTGTTCTCGTTACTGACTATATAGAATAAGCTGAAAGAAAACCTACTTTGTCAACTGTCTGTTCTGTTGGCCTGTAAAATGAAGGCCTGCCTAAACTGACCACAAGAAGTTTATGTAACTTGGGTAGAAGGGAAACTTGAAAGAAATTTAGCAGTTTTTTTCTCCTCTTATTCCACCACCTGTTTTATGAACACATTTAAATAGTCTCCCAAAGATGCAAACATGTATCATGTATCAACATATAAATGAATCTACTTTAGGAAACAAGCAGCTTGTCATCCCTGCGTGTGTGACAGTATGCTGGCAAATAACCTGAATGAGTAACAGGTTAACCTGAACGGAATCACCTGAAGCCTTACTGCCCCAAAGAGATTCAGCTTGGCGTCATAAAGGCCTTAGTCGCCATGTATGATAATCCCCTCGGAATTCAGAACGGACCCGTGGTGTTTTCTGCCTCAAGACCCGAATGGCTAAATTAAGAGAAATGGTTCACTCAGGCCGCTGAAGAGAAGATGTCTTAATGTACTATCACTTTGGTTCATGTACCAAACAGTGTTAAGGTAGCCACAGATGAGAACCAGGCCAAAGCTCTCCTCTAAAGATAAGAAACCATATTTAACAGTAGTCAACTTTTTTTTTTTTTAAACTAGGGTGAGACAGGAAAAGAAAAATCTTTTTTTTTTTTTTAAGATTTTATTTATTTATTTGACAGACAGAGATCACGAGTAGGCGGAGAGGCAGGCAGAGAGAGAGGATGAAGCAGGTTCCCCGCTGAGCAGAGAGCCTGATGTGGGGCTCGATCCCAGGACCCCAGGATCATGACCTGAGCCGAAGGCAGAGGCTTAACCCACAGAGCCACCCAGGCGGCCCAGGAAAAGAAAAATCTTAACATGGACCACAGACATCCTAAGCTTCTCTCCACTCCTCCTTTCTCTTTAAGATACAAAAATACTACTTCAAAAAGGGAGATGGTACTTACTATTAAGATACTTCAATAGGGGAGGGGCACCTGGGTGGCTCAGAGGGTTAAGCATCTACCTTTGGCCCAGGTCATGATCTCAGGGTCCTGGGATTGAGCCCTGTATTGGGCGCCCCGCTCAGTGGGAAGCCTGCTTCCCCCTCTCTCCCTGCCTGCCTCTGCCTAATTGTGATCTCTCTCTCTCTCTCAGGTTAATAAATAAAATCTTAAAAAAAGAAAAATAAAGTTTATTTTAAAAAAAGATACTTCAATAGGGGAGATACACACATATACAAATATGGACTTGGAATGACATTTTTATCCCAAATACAAGCTATAAAGTAAACTTAGTATATCGGTCATATTTTGAAGTCTTTAGCAATTAGTAAGTACAATTTAAAAAACCATCCAGACACAGGAAAGATCAGTGCCCTAAACACTGGTCTCCAGGAAAAACTATATTAAAATTAAAAGGTGAACTTCAAGAACTTTAGAAATGTTTTAAGACAGATGTAATTAATCAGGAAATGAAGAAGAACCAGGATCTGACAGAGCAAATTACAGTTCCATAATAATGAAACATAAAAGTGAACAAGAAAAGAGACAAATATAAAAAATTCCCAGTTCCTGATTCTGGTTTGACGTTATTTTTAGAAAAGTCTGATTGGTAAATAGCAAAATAAGGAGGTCCTAACTTCAAAACCCATTTTACAATAGGAGAATATGAGCCTGAGGTCACAGTATCAGATGTTAAAAAATAAAAAATCTCCCCAGTGACATATCTGCAGTCAATTAAATAGAGAACTGTGGCAAACTACGCACATGGGAAAGGGGCTGTGCTCATTTCACTACTGCCAGTGGCTAGCGTCAGGCCTGCCAAAAAAGGTTCTGCTTTTGCAGGCACCTTAACCACTGTTTGGTTAACTCAAGATCAAGACAGGTACAGCGTATTGTCTCACATTTAATATATGTATGTTCTGATGACGTCACCCCCACTTGGAGCAATCCTCACAACTGATCCGGGCAGTGACTCCTGCAGAGCCGTCATCCAAGGCCTGCCCTCCCACTGAGGCCCACAGTTAAGAAAGAGACATTTACTCTTTTTAGTTCACATTTCTGTTACAACAGAAATGCTAAAAAAATTGGATTTAAAGCCTCCTTTAAGACTAACAAAGAGAATTAACTTGATGAAAACACACTACATTTTTTTAAATTGACTAGCTCCTCCTTGTGCTACGGACTTTCTATTTAATTAAAACCACAATGACCGCTAAAGCATAATTCAACTCAGTATCTGAATTAAGGTATTCTTAAGTATTTTGAAAAAGGTGGCCTTATCTATGAAATTTTAAACTTCAGAAATTGAAAGTTCAGAAATAGCAAATATACAATGAACTCGGGACAACTGTGGAAACTGGAAATGGAAGGGGCTTATCAACAGTTCTTGTGCTATCAAGGCAAAGTAAGAATACAGTCATTTGACAGAACAGGGTTTGTTATTTAAAGAGAGCAAAGAGGGGTGCCTGGGTGGCCCAGTTGGTTAAGCATCCGACTCTTGGGTTTTCGGCTCAGGCCACAATCTCAGGGTCATGAGACTGAGCCCTGAGCTGGGTCCCCCACTCAGTGCCGAGTCCATTTAAGAGATTCTTGCTCTCCCCTTCTTCCTCTGCCCCTTCCCCCACTTGTGCTCGCGCACTCTCTCTTTCTCTCAGATAAACAGATAAATAAAATCTTTAAAGAGAGCAAAGAAAAGGCCAAATACTTTTTAGTTGGTTTTGCTAACACAGAACTGGAGAGTTTTACAAAGGGTAATTTTAACACTATCATTGGCTTGGCTACATTTGCACTTAATGGACATGAGGTGAAAATATGAACCAATCTGGGATGAAAATGACACAGTCTCACAGTCGGCTGGTGACCCATCCACACTATGCGCAAAGGAGTTACCTGCAGTAATTGAGAACAATGGATGGAGAGTTCTCAAATTACTGTTGGACAAATCTTTTCCCTTCTTAGTCTGTCCTCTAAACGTTTAGACCCTAGCGTTTGGGGCTCCAAAAATGGGCCATCGACATGACAGACCATCTCTAAAGCAAACAACCGTCCACAGATAACTAAGTTGATGTGACTGACACATACTGCAATCAATGTACTGCTCATGGACACTACATGCCAAGCATGCTTCAGAGTAATTTCCGAAACTTGAAGAATGAGGGAACATAACTGAGACTTCCCTAGCAACAGCAAAACATGCTAATGTGTAGTAAAGAGAACTCCAATTAGCTTACCTCCTGCAGTAGATCAGCCTGCTCAATTGCTTTAAGGACATTTTTCTTGGATGTTTCCTGAACTTCCCCTCCCAAAAGAAACTCATCCAAAATAAAATAAGCCTTCTCAAAATTAAAGATGATATCAAGTTCACACACCTGAGAAGCAAGGAAAACAATGTTAAAATTGAAGAAAGCAAAAGATACTTACCCACCATCAAGTAGTGAATAAAAAGGTGATCAGTGAATCGATCTTAATTCTTTCTAAAAATGGCAATCTTGCCAATAATTAAGTATCACTGATTTAGTCAGTTTAATTTTCAAATCTCAAGTACTTGGAAACACAAGGCCTACAAACTAAATAAGACCTGATTCTGGAAGTTCTCAACATGGGCAACTGAGTAATTCTCTACTCATGAACAATGATCTTTTTAAATACATACTTCCTGTATAATGTGATTATAACTGCTTACCAAATCTAAATTCTATACTAAGCACTTCCAGAACATTAATCTTTGCAGTTGAACTCCTTTCTGTTTCACTATTTTAAACCTCATTCTCACAACCATCATTAAATGAGCAGGGCTGTGGGGTCAAGCATTGCAGCAGTTAACTGATTGGGCCGGCTGGCAAAAGAGAGTCAGCCCTTCCCCACCTCTGCAGTTACTTTCAAACAGAATTCCGAAGACAATCAAACAATAAACTTGTTACAGAGAAGATTTTTAAAAAATACTATGGCATTCAATTTCCTAAAACAAAATACTACTCACACTGCCGAAGTACTTGTCAAGTAATTCCACGTAACGATGAATTATTTCCAGGGTAATTAGCTCATTGTCCTGATCCTCGATAGCACAGCAAAAATACAGACTAGCATATCTGTAACAAAGCAAATGTGGAAGAAATTTTACCCTATAACCTAAATATGTTCTCATATCCTATTGTGAAAGATCCCATACTTACACAATTTACTTCCCCTTTCACAACAGTATAGATTTTTCTCCTGCACTACAAAAGGAATGAATGCATGTAGAGAAAGTTTGAAAAGTACAGGCAAGCAAAAAACCAAAAAACAATCACTCAATCATACCATCTAGAAATGCAGAAAGGCGAACTCGTTTTGCTCTTCTTCTTTAGGCTGCCTTCTATGAATATCTAAAACATAGCTGGACCCAGTTATGAAATACAATGAATGAAATGGTCCTAAATTGTATGAAATATAATCTTATGTTTACCTAATTAAAACAAAATGCGCTGTGTGATTAATTCAAACGTCAAGTAAACAGGGAAGACGATAAACTCTCCGACTGAAGGACTTATTGAAGATATTGTCAATGTGAAGGCAATGACTGAAACGTTTTGTTGAAGCGTTAATATACACAACAGAGAAGAACACAAGTCCTATGTACAGCTTGAGGAGATCTCAAAGTGAACCCACCCCGTGTACCAGTACCCTGATCAAGAAACAAATTACGGAACTCCTAAATCCCCTCTCCTAGCCCCTCTAGGTCACAATCTGCCACCCCCAAGGGTAACTACTATCTTGACTCCCAACGGCATAGAATTGTTTTTAAAGGTTTCTAGGACTGTGGAATAAACTCCAAGAAAAGAACAGTTCTAAGTTATTACAGAAGTCAGAGAAAGAGAACATGGGAAACTGAGACCTGTTCTCAAATTTTCCAAGTTGTACCTGTTAAATGAAAGTTTATGTTATTTACCCCTTGAATATTAACATTGGAAAACTCATATTCTCTTCCAAATTAGGATTCTAGCACATGAGGCTACATTATACTTGACCCAAAAAAGCCAAACTTAACATACAATCCTGAGGCATAACAAACAATGACCAAGTCTTTTGAGGAGGATTAAAAGAGCATTTTACAAATGGTTTAAGTGTATTACAGGCTTTTGGAAAAAAACACAAGCAGAAAACCCAAGACATTCTAAACAAGTCTCAGTTTCGATTGTGATTTTCGCCGAGGAGTATCTCAGTGAATTTTAGAAAACACAATGAGCAATTACTGCTCATAGCATTAATGGAAAATCACACGTACATATAAACTCGGTTTTGGAATTCAATGAATTCCTACTCTTCAATAGGAGAGTAACTGGTATTTACAGAATGCTCTATTCATATTATCAACTTGACCAAATAAAGATCAATTATTTGATCTTTCCAACAGCAAGCACCATCATTCTTGACTGGCGGGGAAGGGGGGGAAAAAAAAAAACAAAAACGAGGCCCGAGTCCAGGTCTGCCACGTGGTCATTCTGGGACCATTCAGGTCATGATCCCAGAGCCAGAAGCCTGCTTCTCCCTCTCCCTCTGCTGCTCCCCATGCTTGTTCTCTCTCTCAAATAAATAAGATATTAAAAAAACCCTGCAATACCAAATAAATAAATAAACGAATGAATGAATAAATAAATAAATAAATACAAAAGTCCTGCAATACTACCTTAATGCTTGCTTTCACTCAGAATGGAAAAAGAGCCATCAGTTAGACAAATTCTTTGTTGTAGGTGATTATCTAGTTATCAGGGTTATAATGCCCCTCTCTACAGAAAGCTTACAGAAGAAAGAAACAGAATAGTTAACAGGTTAACATTCACGGAGTCCTCACTCTGAGTGAGACACTAAATGTTAGCTAAGGCTTCTGCATATTTTGCCATTTTAATCCTCACAACAACTCTTCAAGAAAGATACTGTTATTAACTTGCATTTATAGGAGACCCAAGCTTAACTGACTAACCTCCCCAGGAATAGTAATTTGACTCCAAAGCCCCTGTTAAGGGTTTATATTAAAAACTATAGCCAGGAACTGTATTAAATAAAGTAATCCTGCACCTGGCAAAAATTAAAACTGATAAGCAATATTTAAGAATTTAAGAGCTTTGAAGATGGAGAGAAAAACTGTTATACTGATTTAGTAAAAGATTACCAAGAGAACCTGAAGTATACTCCCTATTTTTAGAAGCAAATGCTTTTTAAAAATTCAATTATGAGCTCATTTTGTTCTCTTACTACCTATTTGTAAGTCTAAACCTGAAGTAAAATTAATAATAGACTAGTAAGAAGAAAGGTATGTTTGGTTATTTTTAGCAGAATGGATTAAGGCTTACTCTAATTACTGGCACTCAGAGACCATCTGAAAGTGCCTATTCTTACATTCAAAACACATGACTTCTCCACAGTCAGCTAAGTGTCAGCTGACTTCGTGAATGTAACTAAACTATTCTCAATACCCACTGGTATGTCATTAAAAATTCTTTTGTTAGTCAAGAAAATACAGTACTGTGGCAAAGCCTTAAACTAGTAAGATATATGTATGTTTAAATTCACTGTATAACTCAATCTAGTGCCTCTTCCATAACATGCTGCATAAAATAGGAATCAAAAAAGCATAGTGTTAGGTCCTTCAGGGATTTTCAAGAGCATTTATTTCAGAGATGAGGAGACACACACACAATGACTTGTTCAAAGTCGCAAAACTAGCTAAGGGTGCAAGCCAAACAGAACTCAAGTCCCCAGATTTTCAGTCTGTTTTTTTAGCTATATTCTCCCTATGGACCCCTACCCCCCTTCCCAAGACGGGGAGCTATGCGAAATGCTCAGCAAGAAGAATGCGGCCGAGACAAGTGGAAGGCAGGCAGGCCTGAAGACCACTTGCTGACTGAACAGCAACAGTGCTGGTTCAGAATTTCTCAGAAGTGAGAATCCTTTTGCTTAAAAGGTCTTCTCTTCCCCTGGACTAGGGGGAAAAAAAATCACTCGTTTATGACAACAAAGAATATGTTCTTAAATACGATAAATGAGGTTTTCAGTATGAAATGGGGGCAGAGGCATAGAAAAACTGATTAAAAATTCTAAGTTCTATATGTGAATCTTATCTCAATAAAGCTGTTTTCTTTAAGTACACCTTTTACTTACAGGAGCTCCATAAAAGTATCAGACTCAGGTGAGAGTACCCTTTACAGCCTTTATTTAAAAGTGGTGGGCCGGCGCGGGCGGGCTAAGTGCTGCGTGCGGAACACCAGCCCGTGCTTGCCTTCCTCCGGTCGGAACAGGCCGTTGCCTTCAGCGGCAGGAAACTCGATTCCTGGGATTGATTCCCTTGCTGGTATTTTCCTCCTCCACACGGGGGACTCCTTCCCCTATCTAGAAATAAGCTGAAGTCTCTCACACCTTTTTAAAAACTCTGTCCCTCACTCCTGTTGTCCATGGGCGGTTACCACCTCTTCGCATCTGACGAAGCTCCCGAAATAGTCTACATTTGCTGTTTAAAGGCCTCCACCTCTTCACACTTTGCCCCATTTCTTCGAGAGTTTCTACTATTTCACTGAAAATGTTCCTCCGACAAATGGCATTTTTGGAACTCTCACCGTAAAACCTAATAGATTCTTTCTTCACTTTTATTGTTTTTGCAACATTTGGCCCTGGTGACTTAATTTTCAAAACTCACTCCCACTTCCTGACATTACTGACCCTATACTTAGTCTCTCCCCCTTTGCTTGCCCCCTTGAATGTTGGTGGTTTACCACTTTATGCCTAATTTCCGCCCTGACTTCCAAGCCCACTCGGAGAAAACCAAGCATCTCAAAGTCAGCATGTCTGCTACCTCACATTTACCATCAGCTGAAACAGAAGTGTGGAATCCCTGCCCTCCTGGCTTCTGGCAAAAAAACCCCCAAAAAACAAAAACAAAAAACCTTACCTTGTAGGAACAGCTCATTCCACCTGCTGAGCCCATAGCAGAGGTCTTCCTTCAGGGCCTCATTATAATGCAGTTTCCTAAGAGATCTCTCAGGTGCCAGCCTCAGCAGCCCCCCCACTCATTCTCCAATTACAAGGATCCTTTCAAAAAGGCATTATCTGCTCTTTTCTCAACCCTGTTTTAAAACCTTTGCCTCCACACTTCAGAACTGAGTTCTAGCCCCCTTGTCAGTCACTAACTGGAATATGACCTTGGACAAGTCACTTCTCCCAAATTCTTCCTTTCATAAAATTGAAATTTAATCATCAGTAGTGGTTTTAGGGGCGCCTGGATGGCTCAGTCATTAAGCGTCTGCCTTTCACCTCAGGTCATGATCCCAGAGTTCTGGGATCCAGCCCCGCATCAGGCTCCCTGCTCGGCAGGAAGCCTGTTTCTCCCTCTCCCACTCCCACTAGTGTTCCCTCTCTCGCTGTGTCTCTGTCACATGAATAAAATAAAATGATTAAAATCTTTAAAAACAACAACAAAAGAACCAGTAGTGGTTTTAAAGGTCATGAACCATCTCTGATGCAGAGGGCACAAGCCAAGTGAGCAGAGGTATGAGACCCCGGTTCTGTTTCCATGAGAGCACCTCCACTTCCACTTGATTCATCGAAGGTTCTAACCTCTGGGCAAAAAGCTTTTTATTTTTTTTTAAAGATTTTTATTTATTTATTTGACAGAAATCACAAGTAGGCAGAGAGAGAGATTGGAGGAAGCAGGCTCCCCGCCGAGCAGAGATTTAGGGCTCAATCCCAGGACCCTGGGATCATGACCTGAGCCGAAGGCAGAGGCTTTAACCCACTGAGCCACCCAGGCGCCCTGCAAAAAGCTTTTTAAAAACAATCACCTGACTACATTATTCCAAGACTTCTCCCAGCTCTAAAAAGCTATGAGTTTTCTCAACAAGTACTAAACCAAAATCACTCAAAGATGACTAAATTTATTCTATTGCAAAGAGTTCTATGGTATTTAAAACATTCTCTATGTCCTATAATCTCCCATCACCTCCTCTGCCATCTACCCACCCCCCACATACACTCAAAACCCATCCACACCTAGAATAAAGGAACAGAGATTAAAAACCCAGACTTCTCTTCCACCCCCTCCCCTTGCAGCCCTTACTGTTAGTTCCCTGAACTTCCCCTATAGAAGACAATTTTTTATATGCAGAGACACTCTTCTTAAATACAGTAAATTATTTGTAAGGGAGGGAAAATGGAGAAGAAACAAAGTAATTAATTTCTTTTAACTCCTGATTAGCCCAATCTTGAGAAATGTTATTTTAGGGTATTAAAAGACTTTTAGATATTAATAAAGATGTACATTTTTTAAAAATTTAGTGTCCAAAGCCAATGTGTGAGTCATTTTTCAACATCAAAAATTTAAAAATCTATTCTTCACAAAATTATCTATCAGATCTAATTATACCTCCATGACAGCAACAAGTGTACTTCAAATTAATAAATGCTACTAACAAAGAAATCTTATATAGAGTTTCAAAACCTCTATATGACTAAATGATCTATGCATCCAAGGTGTTCAAAAGTGAGATTCTAGAAGTCAGAAAAAAGGCATATCAATTATCAGTCATTACTGTATAGATTTTTAAGCAAGGTTTGTCAAAATTCAGAGAATTACACCATTTAAAATATGACCCCATTTTCACCTGCAAAGAAATTCATTTAATTTTTCTAAAAAGATGATTAAGTAGAAATAATCATTTATGCCTTTAATTACATAATTAGTTTTAAATCGACTTTTCTGATTTTATTTTTTTGACTGGACAATCAATCAAAACACCAGTTATTTAAAAGACACAAAGCTTTAACTTAAACCTTTTTCATCTAAATCATTATTAATCATTACTTGTAAATGTCATCTCTCAAAAGTCTGCCATTGCCACATTATAAATGACTGAACATTTAATCCAATTTTGCCTTTCTGATAAATGAAAATTATACCTTTTGTAAACAATCTTCAGATCTCGCCACTCAAGAAAGCTGCACATTTTAGGTTTCCGTGCTAAAACGGTTTGAACAAGTTCTCTTGTAATCTTTTTCTTCTCTTTGTCTGATAGTGGGACATACCATTTCTGCAGTCGAAGCTTTCCCTGACGACTAAAGAGCAACATAAACTGCATCTGTTAAGATAAATAGAGCCAAGATTACATGCAACACTTTGATTCCGTAAAGATTAAGATGACATGGTTCCTAGAGAAGCTTAGGGGGCAGGGCCTTTAACTGACAAATGATTAGCAGCCATCAGTATTTCTACTCCAGTTAAAATAGCAGGAAAATGCTTGTAGAAAGATCTTCCCACCAGGGGCAAATCTCCCCACCCCACCCCGTTCCATGTAAGTTCGGAGAGTAGTGCGTGGCAAAAAATAATAATCATAATTAAAAAAATAAAAAACAGGTAAAAAGCTGAAGTGAAATTTTTGAGGAAAAAGAAAGATAACTCTTGCAATTTACGACAACTACTGTCTACCTGTGCTGTACATGTCACACTCTCTGTATGCTTCAAAAGAGAACTGTTGACATCAACTGGTTTAGATACATCTGAAAGAAACAGCAGATCTACAACTATTTCGCATCCTGAGGCTGTTCCAGTCCCCGGCTGAATTACTTGTATTCAGACTGCTATCACTCAGAATGCCCTCTTCAGTTTATGCTCACACATTTTAAGCAAAACAAAACATCTAAAATATTCAACAAAAAAACCCATAAATGCGCATTTTGCTTAATAAAAGCCTGACTTTTAAGTGTCTCTTCTCATCTTTGCTTTCTGAAAATTCCAACATAAATATACACACAATAGAGAAGTGGGTTAATGTAACAATATGAAAGAGAATCCTTTAAAAAGCCAAAATTTAGAGACACACATGCAGAGACATTAGGCAAAATACCTCATTTAAAACAATTTTTAAAACAAGCATCTACAGATGGAGTGGATGCTGAATTCTACTGTATCTTAAACTATTTTGTATACGTGTATTTGGAACCTCAAATCTGTTGATTAGTTTACATGTTTCATTTTAAAGGAAAGCTTCCTGTAATCCAACTGTTCTTCCCAACTGCAAACATTAAGCATTGTTTCTACAAAAGTAATTTAAAGGTAGAATTCAGACAGGTTCCCCCCCCCTCCTAACTGTTGTTAAGTTCCTTCAACGGTGTTACTACAAGTAAGACTGCAGCCCGATTCTTAATATGCACCACACCACCTTAAATCTGAATATGGGGTGGGGGGATAATCTACACGGCCAATTTAGAATAAAAATGGGCTCCAGATTTCGCTAAGAAATTACTGTCGCTTTTTGTATTAATCCAAACGGGCATCGACAAGGTATTTAGAAATTTAAGATGTGGCGATTTAACTTTATTAAAGTTAAAATTGGCTTATTACGCCTCACTTAAAACCTTCACTGGCACAAAATAAGCGAACGATATTTTTGATGTCAAAGTGCCTCCCATACAAGTCCTGGTAAGACAGCGGCATTCGGAGGGGAACAGCAACTAAAGCATCAACTGGACGTTTAATGCAAACCCGTTACCAGAACTTTGAGAATAACAGACCCCCTATTCCAGGACCCCGACGACCTGGAGGAGTGGCGGTTTGCTTTCTAAAAGAGTATGAGCTCTCGGCTGTCTCTATCCCCTCCCTACCACTTTATAGAATAAATAATTCACTCTTTAAAATAAATTATGTGCTAACATGGGACGATACCCGGTTGCGAGGCACAAGTATTCCTTTCCTCTGGTTAAAAACTAACGCTTTGATTTTGCCGCAAATCACAGGGCACTCAATTCCTCGAGATTGGTTATTAAAAACAATAGGCTCAGCTGCGGAGCCGGCTCAGGGCCAGCGTTCCTCGGTCCGGCCGTCTCCGACGCCTCCCCGCCGCCCCATGGGGCCGCAGTCCATCACTGACCGAGCCCGGGCGAGGTGACAGGCTAGGCGCGGGGCAGACAATGGCATTCGCCGCCACGCAGGGGGCGCCAAGGGTCCTCCGCCGCCACCGCCCCCAGTCGCGGGCCCCTCCCGAAAATGCCCCGCAAAACTTGAGGTGATTCCCAAACCACAGGTGCCGCGGGGCCCCCCGCATTCCCGGGGCGCGGTGCGGAGTGGAGAACGGCGCCGACGCGGAGAGAAGTGAGTTGCGGGGCGCGGCGAGCCCCTGGCTGGCCGGGACGGCCAGGCGCGGGGTGGGGTCGTCGGGGCGCCCGCGGGGCGGCGGAGGGCGCGCCCAAACCGCCCTCCCGGCTCCCTGTCCCCGACGCCCCCGCTCGCCCCCCGGGACTTACGGCGGCCGCGGGCCGCGGGCGCGGCTGAGCTCGGCCGGCGGTGGCGGCGGCGGCGGCGGCGGCGACGGTGGCGGCGGTGGAGGCGGCGGCTGAGGGGAAGCCCCTGTCGCCAGGCTGAGGAAGAGAAGCCGTGTTGCTGTGGGGAGGGGACCCAGTTAGCGGAGGGAAGGCTTAGGCGGCGAGGGGAGGGCGAGCCGGCAGACCCCGCCCCGTGGGCCGGACGAAGGAGGAGCCGGGGCTGCGGCGACAGGAGGGGCGGGCTGGGCGACGCGCGGGAAGCAGCTCGGCCTTCGCCAACGGCACGGGAGGCAGCGCCGGAGACCGCACAATCTAAGAAAGCCGATTGGCCGCGTCTCTACCGAGAGGGGTGGTCTGGGCCGGAAGTCAGGCCACGTGACCCGGAAGCGGCTGCTGCCAAGGCCGGCGCGCCTGCGTGCTCCTGCTTGTGCATTTCGAACTCGGGCAGGCGGCTTCCCCGGCTACCCGGTGGTTAGAGGACGGGGTTCTGCGGTGCCCTTTGTCGACCCCGCCGTGCGGGGCAGGGAAGGTCAGGATTGCGAAGAGCCAAGTTCAAGCTCCGATAACTCTCCGAGCCCAAAGAGGGTGGGGCGGGGAGGCGTGACTGCCCGTGATGCTGGTGAGGGGAGAGAGGGAGTGCTGCACCTCTGGGGAAAACAAGTCAGCTCTGTCGTGGAGCTAGTGCACGCGTTCAGAGGGCCTTTTGCAATTATTCTGCTTCCAACCCGCCTGGAATCCAGACGGTCCCACCTATCGCACTGCTACAGCCCTAGACACTTTTTGCCCCAAGCTGTGCAAGTGTCTCTTCCCTGGGCTTACCTCGCCTATTCTCAGTGCTGCGGACCTAATGAATTAAGGTCCGTCCTCTGCTGAGAAGCCCAGACAGCATCTCGTGTTTGAGATCCCACTTTCTTCACACGGAGTCGCGTTCCCCGCCGCTCCGCCCCAAAGCCGCCTGGGTTCCAGTTAGCCTTGCCGAAGACTTGCTCTGCCTGGCGTGTACTTCCTCTCAAATGTTAATCTATGAAGCCTCACCCTCAAACCCTGTAAGAACGAATCCCTCTTTCACCCACATGTTCATTAGCCTCTGCTTAGCACATCTTGAATTTTATTCATTTTTGCATCCCCACGTGTCCATTTGCCTTTATTTAGCACGTCTTGAATTTTTTTCATTTTTCGTCCCAACCTAGTTCACTGCCTGGTATATAACACATCTAATAAGTGGGAGTTGACTGATGAGGACTATAAAATGATAGATTTGTTAAGAACCGTAGTGCTGAGCATTATACTTGGCACATAATGGATGTCCATATTTTTTTGAATGAAAAGGACGGATGAATCATCTAGTCCGACTCATCTTTTACAGATGAGGAAAGGGGAGTCCCATGGGATTAAGTGACCTTGCTTGAACAGCCACTGGTTTCTCATGTTGAATGGTATTCATTACCCCAGTCACTTAGGTTCTTACAAAGGAAGCTGGAAAATTGCTTTTATTACGCTATGCCCTTTTTGCAGAGGTTCCCAAACATACTCGCCAGAATTTTTTAATGACCCCAAGTGAAAAGGAAATGCTACGTTTTTCACGAAGCTAAATTTAATCAATTTAAAGGAATCCTTTATTAGGGATTGTTCATTTTTTTTTTTTTTTGGTGGTAAAAGGTCTATAAAACTATGATAGTATATAACAGGGATTTGAAGGCATTTTTATTGCCCTGATTTGGCAAAGTAAAAATGTATAATACCTCCCTCTTTTTAAGCACTACTATACTGCTAGGAAAATTTCCTACAAATATGTAGGATAATGTATACTGGAAAACAAGTGGCCGACACAAAGCACAGAACTGGCATTCTGTGGTCTTTAGGCCCCCTGCCCAGATTTCTCTCTGCTTCCTAACCAGTCGTGCTCCAAAGTCACATATTAATGCCCCATTTCTCCCGAACTACACAAAACAGATGCCATTAACCAGTTCAAAGATAGATTGAATACTATGCAGTGAAAAGGTGCACTCTGAATCCAAGGGCTGTTTTCTCTTTTTCTGTACAAAGCACATATATCCTCAACGTTCTTAGGCTAACCACCTCCAAGTTTAAAGCCATTGGTTATGCTCCTAATGTTGGTCTGTGGTTCTGAAAATGAAGACGGCAGACTTGCTGATGACATATTGGCAGTCTCTGGTGATCCTAGCCAAGAAAAGGAGCGGGTGGGGGGTAGAGAGGGAAAGGAATTATGGGAAAAATAATTAGCAGCTGAAAGCAGCTATTACATAATCTTGGCTGCTTATTAATTTAGAAGAAGGAATGGCTTATTAAATTCTAATAGCAGCAGCACAACTGCAAACAACCTAGCAATTAACAATGCAGGGCCCATTATTTTGTTAATATGTTCTCTTTTTTTGGCAAGTGTATAAGAACAAATTTTATAGAAGCAGATGGTCTTTTTCAGTAGATTATAGATGGTTTTTCCCCAGTCTTAGTATTAAGTGCTAATTGTGCATTCACCGTGAAAGACAAAAGAAGCACTGTTAGTAATTAACTGCTTGACTTTGATTCCCACATTTTCCAAATTGTGGGCTTTCTTATGTACATATTTCTTCTCACCTAGTATCTTCTTCATCTGTCATGTTAATAGGGTGTCTTTCTTTATCCTCTGCTTTTGTTATGTGGGTGGTCCTGATTTCTTGGTTGTTCATATTGATACGAAAATAATTTCTTATGAGAAATTAAAAATCAGATTTTATACTTTTTTTTTTTTTTTTTTTGGTACAGGAGGCATTTATTACAACATCATTTCTCATGGAACAAGAAGGAACGTGGACTTTCATGGTGCAAGCCTTCCTGATGTTTCCCGGGTTTCAATGGCCCAGGCAGATAAAGGAAACTCAGCAAGGTCAGAAGAAAGAAGAACAGATCTGTCCTTAAGTGGGAAAAATAACCGTGTCCCAAGTATACAGAAGGGGAACAAATGAAGTATTTCTGGTAAACTACCATTTATTTCTTTTTTATTGAGATATAATTGACATTATATTAGCTTAAGGTGTACAACATAATTTGATATTTATATGCATTTGTGAAATGATCACCACAATAATTCTAGTTAATATCACTGGTTTCTTTAAAAAAAAAAAAAGTGCTTAGCTTTCATTTATGCTAAATGCAAGAGTTGAGGGCCTTCTAACAATAAAATTTTGAGACTTTTAATGTAATCTTTTAAAAGTTTTCAAAAATAGCTTTAGTTTTAGTTTCCTGTTAAATGTGTGTTGGCCATATGCTTTTATCTACTCTCCCTCGCAAAATGCCATTAAACGGAAAAAAAAAAAAGGAGGAATGTTTGAAATATATACTCACATGGGCAATAAGACAGGGGACATTAGCATGAGGATGTCATTAAGGATGTCTCGGTGCACTGTTGGCTCATTGTGATTTAGGTAAAAATTGTAATATATTTATATTGGGAATACAGAGGAGCAGAAGTGAGGGGATGTTGAAATCATGCTAAATCCTCAGGCCCTGGCAATAAGAAAATAGATAACATCTAACATAAACCAAAAAAATAGTATTATTAGTGTATTCTTTAGATACCAGGAAGTAAATTCCAGAAGCCATGATGACTTTCTTTCCAGGGACAGAATCTTGAGGTAGGATGCATTAAAGGTTATTATTACATTTTATTTTAGTGCAAGTTTTCCTTAGACCATTTTTAAATATATTGTAATGAAGTAGATAAAAATTCTTCTGTTAGTGTCAACACTATATTATGGACTTGTACAGCATTCCTTTAGCCTGTCTATGTGTTACTTAGAAATTATTAAATAAAGATGACTTTGTAATGGAATTCAGCACTGAATCAATGTAGAAGAGCACAGTAAGTGTAAAAAAGATGCTTAGAGTTTTGGATTTGCATCTCCAATGATAAACTTGTTCCAAGGAGAAAACTGGCCCCAAATAATGAGGATTTGTGAATGAGTCATTTCAAATAGATAGAGTTGTCACTGCCAAAGTCCCCAACAACAAGCCAAAGATAAATGTGGGACATCCACTTTTCCCTGAAGCCTGTTTCCAGAGCTTTGAATAAAATGCGGGAAAATGACTCTTTTTTTAATATTAGGCCAAGGCAGTGGTAATTTTATCCACCACCCCTTCCTCCTGACCCCAGAGGACACCTGGCAGTGTCTGGAGACATTGTGGTTGTCATCTTGGCACCCAGGTATGGGGCAGGTGGGGGTGCTGCTGCTACAGTGCACAGGACACTCCCCTAGGACAATGATCCAGCCTCAAATGTCAACAGCGCTGAGGCTGAGAGGCTCCAAGTTAGTCATTGAAAAGGTTAGTGTGCAGTAACCGAGCGCTTTTATAGGTATTTCAAGAAATGGAACACGTACTATCTGTACATAAGTTTTGCTTGTGTTTTTTTTTTTTTTCTTTCTTAGAGGGGTTGGAGGCCTTCTTAAATATCTGAGAGCTAAAATTCTTAACTGCTGAAAAGACTGGCCGCCTACATTAGGCAGTCAGTATTCTTTAATGGTAGCTAGAATAAACTCTTGAAATGGGATTTTTTTTTCCTAAGTGACCCCAGAATATTCGTGGAAATTATTTAGAACCTGAATCCATGAGGTGACTGTTCCATCCCTTCATTCATTTAACAAAGATGTTTATTATGCTGGTTTATTATGTTTCTTATGGTTTACTCTGCTGGCCACTCTGGAAGGTAATGGGGATACAAAGATGAGTAACATGTTGGCTCTTTCCTAAAGCTCTAAAACCATTTCTCCTGACACAGAATTTCATGTCTTTTAGAGACCAGTTCTGGGTGGTTAGAGCAGCAGTCATCAATCAAACATAAGAACACATTTTCTTTTGGATAGCCCCTAAAGATGCTTCTTAGAACCTTGGATTTCCATGACGGACACCTTTGGAAACTATTTGCCCTAATGACCTCCCGGGGCTCCCAGGGATCTTTTCATTCTGTGAGTTTTCCATAGCACTCTGAATTCACAGCAACATAAAAAGTCGAGGTGTTTTCAACAAAACAATTCCAGATAATATTCTTTTGACCTGGTCCTTGGAATGAAATGTTTCCACAGTAATCTAATTCAACTAGATGACTGGTTCTAAGTTATTCTCTGTATGGCTTATGAACAAAACGCAGATTTGGGGCCCCTTCCCAGAGTTTGTGATTCACTGGGTCTGAGATGAGGCCTGAGAATTGCATTTCTCACAGGTTCTCAGGTGCTGCTGTTGCCACTGTTTCAGAGACCACACTTTAAGAACCACTGCTCTATGCCAACCCCCCCACCCCCAAAACAAAAAACCCCCCAAGATACCTAACTGGTAAATTCTCAAGCCAGCAATTTTGATGTAATTTCCAAGACTGATGATCTTAAGGTAACTTGAGGTGTGAATATTTTTTGTGGCTGACCTTGCTAAGTCTGATAACATTAGGAGATTAATATTCCCAGTTATATGAATCTGAAGCTACATAGATACGTACAAACCTGAGTGGCATAGGAACACTGTTCGCCATCTACAAACTAATGTACTGTGTTGGTGTTAGTTAGAAATTGGAGCACTTAGAGAAACTTGAAGGCTGCACCATAAAAATCAGGCGCTTACTTGGTGAATATCACTGCTCTAAAAATATTTTCCAACTACTCATGCCAAGTAGGTATCACCTCTGAAATATTTCGTTAACAATTACAGACGTGAGGTAGGAAGGAGAGAGTTGAGAGGTAACAGCTAGACAGAATCAGTGTCTCTGAAAATAGCAGAAACCCACCATGAAGTGATCCAAATCTGCCCCTTCTCTTCCTTGGCACACAGCTAGGTAGACCCCGTTGTTCAGTCATCCCTCCAGTTAGGTATCCTGTGGGGCTGATTGGGCTGATGAAGTGTGATATCAAGGCAGGGCCCAGAAAAACCTTGCACAGGAAGGCCTCTTCTCCCTCCCTTCTTCCTCAACCCTACTTTTGTCCCCTGGATGTTGACATCCAGGGCGACATCGGAAGTTACTCTTTTAAGATGGTTGAGTCTTTAAAATAATAATCTTTAAAATAAAATCTTTAAAAAAGAAAGAAAGAAAGGATGAACTTTGTATCAAGCCAGTGATTTTTCTGGGTTTATCTGGTACAGTTGCTAGCACTACTGGCCATTCTCGTAAGCTGTTATACACTTCGTTACAAAGAGAAAGAAACATAGTGATGGGGAGAGCAAGTAGATCGCTCTTTTTCTTGATTCTAAACCTGCTTTTTGTGCTCCTTCATGCGTCTCCTTTCCATTGAAATTTAAAGAAAATTCTCCTGTAGTCTGAGCCCAGAATTTTTTTTTTAAAGATTTTATTTATTTATTTGACAGAGAGATCACAAGTGGGCAGAGAGGCAGGCAGAGAGAGAGGTGGAAGCAGGCTCTCCGCGGAGCAGAGAGCCCGATGCGGGGCTTGATCCCAGGACCCTGGGATCATGACCTGAGCTGAAGGCAGAGGCTTTAACCCACTGAGCCACCCAGGAGCCCCCAGAATTTTTTTTTTAAAGATTTTATTTGTTTATTTGACAGAGAGAGAGAGAGAGAGTGAGAGAGGGAACACAAGCGGGGGAGTGGGAGAGGGAGAAACAGGCTTCCCGCAGAGGAGGGAGCCTGGTGCGGGGCTCCATCCCAGGACCCTGGGATCATGAAGCTGAGCTGAAGGCAAAGGCTTAACCCACTGAGCTACCCAGGTGCCCCTATTTATTTACTTAAAAAATGTTTTATTTGTTTTCTTGACAGAGAGACAGTAAGAGCAGAAACATAAGCAGGGGGATTGGGAGAGGGAGAAGCAGTCTTCCCAGTGAGCGGGGAGACATGGGGCTCGGTCTCAACACCCTGGGATCATGACCCGAGCTGAAGGCAGATGCTAAAAGACTGAGCCACCCAGGTGCCCTGATAAGTCAAAATGAAACAGACAAACAAATCACAGGCTGAAACAGCCAAGGAAATGGAGGTGGAGGGCACATTCCAGTAAACTGTACCTAATTGTCCAAAGTGGATAATGTTATCATCATCTCTTTGAATCAAGAAACCAAAGTTTATAGTTTGTGACCAGATTGTCTTTGTCTTCTTCTTCTTCTTTTTTTTTGTCTTCTAAATACTATAGAACACAGTTAAAACATTTATCCAAAAGAATTCCTGAACATTTTAACTGAATGACTTGAAAAGCTTTTAGAAATACTGCATGTATTCAAAATATAACAAATACATGAAATAATAACATTTTAAGGTCATTTCACTGAAAAACTTCATTTTACAAATAGGGAAATTAAGGCCCAGTGAAGTTAAACAAATTTTTCAAGATCATACTACCTGGTTTGTGGCCGATGAAGAACAAAGACCCCTATGTTCTGGTTCCAGGCAATGGTTTTTTCCACTACAGTATGCTATTGCCCATAAACTACTAGCCCTCATCTTTAGGCAAAAAGAGACAAACAAATAAACTGGGAACTACACACACAGAGAGCCTCTCAAAATGTAAAGTCTTCAGTGCTTCCTCTGTGTTTGCTCTGCTTTCTTTTAAAGTTTTTGTGTCTCTGGTAGCCGACTGAAACCATTGGAATCTCCAAGATTGGGACAGTATCTTACGAATTTCTGTCTCACATAACCTAATGCAATGCCTTGCATAAGGTAGACACTCAAAAAATGTTAATTAAATTGAAATGGATGACTATACTTCAATTTAAAAAAAAAAGAAAGAGAAGAAATTGAATTGGAATGCCAGAAGAAGGTTTAATAAGCCCCTGTCTTATTACTTCTTGAATGTTGCCAGTTTTCTGTGCCCCCTCTTCCCCTTCGTGCAAGATATCCTTTCCATCCCCACTAATATTGCACTAGGTCAGACCAAGAAACTGGACCTTCTATCCCAGCCCCTTCCTTCCACATTACATGCCATTGTTCTATGATGTCATTACAGTTTCTTCCGCATGCACGTGGCCACCTGAGTGTTTTTTCTAAAA